ACCGTTTATGGTCTCCGGTACTTCCAGTCCAACGCCGACTGCATGCACAGCATTAGAAAATCGGGCCTTCAAAATAAAAGTTTGACTTTCCCACCCCCAATTCTTTTTTCCAATTTTTGTTTTTCTTCACTCACACATCGGCCCACCAGTTGAGATACACTGTTCTAGTGAGCCGAGAGTGGGAGCTTGGGGGGCGGGGCTTACGGGGCGCATGCTCTGTGACTGCACATACGGGTTCTTCTGGGCGTCACGGGCTGTGACGTTTCGCTCTCTCAAAAGTTGGGCCATTTTGTCTTCCTGCACCAATGAGCAGCTCTCATAGGAAAGAACGAGACTCCTCCTCCTACGCTGTGTCCAGTTCTTATTATAAATCCAGCGTGGAACGGAGTTGTTTTTTTTCTTAGTGGAAGAAATACGATAATTTTAAGTCAATAAAATCATTTCAATTAATATTGGGAGTTGATTCCTTAGTTTGTTTAGTATCTGGCCATGTAATAAGCGAGATAATGTGCAGCGACTTGGTCATTATGGGGAAAATAACACCCTTCAGGTTCAAAAAGATCAGCCTGACTGATTACGTAAACACCAGGCTTACTAGTCTACCGGCACAATTTTTCTCTGGTGTCGGAATGTCTCGCGATGTTAGCGAATTCTTAATAAACAAAACACCATTTCATTTCGGGTTAAAATGAGTTGTAACTGCGTTACTGAGAATTGTAACGGGTAGTATATTCCCCAAATGTAATTAGTAATGCGTTACATTACTTAGTTACAGCAAAAAGTACATCACTGTAACTCTGTTACTTTTGTAACACGTTACACCCAACACTGATTACCATGAACACACACTGTAGTATATTTTGACTCAATCCCACACACACCGTCCTGTTGCCAATATACTAACCAAATGTAGATTAGTACGCCGCTGAAAATAGTCCAGTCTCAAAACTAAATTGTTTCTCTCCTTGGAGCAACGTTTGACAAAAAAAAGAGGCAACTAGCTGTTCTAGGAAATTGCTGAGACTTTTCTGATTAGGGGATGATTTAGTGTGACACATTTTGAAAGATTTCTGACTAACAGGGAAGTATTGTTTAAGGTTGAGAACCAGACCGGATGGGTTGTTGGAAAATAAAGAGAAGCAGATTAAAACATACATGGTTGGTTTGAATGTTTACAGGAGTGTTTGACAATAAGGAAGGCATGGCCTTATCCTTTACTGTGATTAGAAAGCATTAGTCACAATATTTCTGTAAGATGTGGTGAAATACCAAAACATGGAACTGATCAGAAATATTTTTTCAAGGTTCTATAACAAAGATGAAGGATGTACATTTAGCCTTCAAACTTCCCTCCGTAAGAAGGACAGTAACGTTTACGTTACAACAATAACTCCACTGTTTGCTCACACATGTTTACACACTGTTCATGTTGTGCAGGGCAGGAAATGGCCCAATGATATAACATGAAAGTAGAATTATGAAATAACAGACACACACACACACACACACACACACACACACACACACACACACACACACACACACACACACACACACACACACACACACACACACGTGTTGGGACCAGGTGTTAAGCTGATAAGCCCTCAGAACTCCCACAGCTGACTCCTGGTCTCCAAATCTCTCACACTGTCTCTATTGACTGTGGCTGGCGTGCGTGCGTGCGTGCGTGTGTGTGTGTGTGTGAGAGAGAGGCTGAGAGTGTGAGAGAGTGGGCGCTAGAGAGAAAAACGGAGAGTGCACAAAAAGCAGGAGGAGAGAGAGTGGCAGAGAGAGGTAGAGAACCCATTGTATCTCACCAGGTGAGGTCAAAGGTCTGCATCTTTGATGCCGAGCTTGGACTGAGCATCTTAGCACGACGACGAGCGCTGGAAACGGTCACCATGACAACCCGACACAGCACAACTGCATTGACCTGCAGGCAGAGGAAAGCAGCATCAACATGGCGCCCAGCTCAGAGCAGGCCTGCACATCCACTTAGCCTCCACCTCACATGAGGAGGAGGGCACTATGACCCTCCTACTCAGGAGGCAGGAAATCACACTAATCATATTTTTCACTGCTCCTGACCTTTCTGAGATAGGAAAATGGAATATAAAGAAAATATATAGAATGGGGATAAAGAAGCTCCATCTTCATGTTGAGAGATGGAGGCCCAATTCCAGTCCCAAAGCTTGCCGCTGTATTTACACCCTCCATCTGAAAGGAGGGAGCCTCGTTTAGCTGCAAGTGTCACTCCGCCACGGAGGGGTAGGGTGTAGGGCGTGGTTTGGAATTGGGCCGGAGTATTTTCTGTAGCCCTCTAGAGCTCTAGTTCTGAGTGAGAGTGGGCTGAGCAGAGCGCAGGTCTCTTAGTAGCCCCCAGAGTCCCCAAAACCAGATCAGGACTCCCAAGCTCCCTTTCTCTGGAACCAACTTCCTGTTTGTGCAACATAAATCAACTTTGTTTTGAGGATTTGATTTGAATACCCATACAGATTTACAAAGTAACCAAGAAATGGAGGTTTGGAGTTCAGTGAGGCAGGTTTAAAATACACACACACACACACACACACACACACACACC